GCCCCCCACGGCTGAAAGGGCGAGCATGTTTGGTGTGACGGGGATTCGAACCCGCGACCCTCAGATTGCGAGTCGAGTGCCTTAACCACCTGGCCATGCCGGGCCATACACACACACATATGGAATACACAATACAACTCTTTCTTTTAGCCTTGAAAAGCATGATATTAACCACATGAGAGTTTGGAATTTTATACATTTACATCCAAACTTCTCAACATTTACACGCTTCAAGTTTCAGTAAGTAACAAAATATTAAAACGTATTATTTTTGTTTTTTATCATTTATCTAAAAATAATTAAACTTGGCACTTGAAGAATTGTTTATCTATAAATGTGATAGTGAAAGACTTAATGTTCTATGGTTTCAAAATGTTCTGTGCTGGTACATGCATCAGTAACATATTTTTCCAGCATATAAAGGATTCAAAGTATTCTCTGAAGTAAAACAATAATAGAAGAAAAGTAAAGAATACAAAGAAAATGTATGAAGGATTATAAAGTAAAATATTTAGATAATTTACTTGGTAATATATTACAGCCAAACACATTACATACAAACTTTACTTCTTTAGTAATGAGCACCTTTGCATAATAGATTCATTTTACACTGAAAAAAGAATACCCATTATAAAAACAAACAACATATACACACCCAGTAAACTACTCCTTTAAATTTTTTCCAAAAAAAGAAAAATATATTTTCAAAGCATTAATGAGTTTCTGATGAAATATATTATTCCGGTATAAAGCAAACTGCCTGACTTTTGAAATTACTTACCATTTAGATCAAGAAAGATGACTGGGATGTGTTGTTCCATACCTAGTGGTGGTTCCCTATGCAAAGAAACAAATACAGGAAATTTAATATATTAAGAACTTTATTTGACAATATATACACATATCACAATATATATATATATATATATATATCAAACCATTACTTTAAGTTTATTATAAGTATAATCTAAATACAAACAATTATTTCAAACCTAACAGAAGATTAACTTGTAAAAAAAAATTGATGGAACATACAGTTTTCATAGGTGAACGATATTACTTGTCATTTTATTACTTTAAATGTTTGATAAGGGTACAACTGAGCTTACTTAGTCATCTTAAAATTACATGTATACACACACTGTGCAATACTGACCTATGGGCAACACACTGCTTATTATTATACACAGCCGTGAATTTCAGATTGAAATCATCATTTACAAATAACTTTGGGAAAAAACAAGTTCTGCAGCAAGAAATATTAAAAATTAAGAGGAACTTAAGACTATAGTTGTTCTTTATAGTATATACATCTTAAGACAATTCATTTGTTAAAGTTTTACTTAAAAGATTTGTCAGTAATCAAAATGAAACTGAACTATCATCATATCGTTTACAACATCATAACCTCAGCAAACTCACAGCTGTGAAAGGCAAGATAATGAACTCTCTGTGTGAAAAATAGGTAATCATAAAAAAATAGGAAAAACAGACTCATTAATGATTTGGAGAAGAACAATGAGACGACTTATTCATATATCAAAATGTATATAAACACTCATCAAACAAAAAAGATTGTAACAATAAAGATAGAACTTAAATCAAATTGAATAAACCAAAAGTACATAAATTTCTCATAGAAAATTAATTTAAAGAAATGTTCTACTTGCATAGAAAAAGACATATTACTGTAGTTACTTTTTCATATTACCCAAGTTACCATATATCTAAATCAACATAACCTAAATACAGAGGGTTGAATACACTATATTAAAATGATTTTGAATATGGAAATCAGTAACTCATGTGACAGCCACAGCACTGGGGCAGAATGTATCAGAACTACATTTGGACATTACTTGATACTCATAAGTAATGCGATGTTATTGAAAATTCATCCTCTTAGGAAAGTTGTATAACAGTCCTTTCTGATACAAAATACTCATACACCCAGATCATAAAGATGTGCTAATTTCAGGGATTTAGAATTTAAAATATGGGAATATCCCTTTCATTTAATGCCACTTAAAAACAAAGGAATATGCTCAACTTGGGGCAGCAGGACCATCCAGAATGAGACCTTTAACAACATATCCATTAAACTCTCACATATCTCAAGCAGATGGCAAATGAAATGGGTATTCATGCTATTCTATACAGCAGCATACTAGTCAAGTTGCCAGGTTGCAACGTCTATGAATTACTGTGAGATTGGACTGTTTAAAAGGGTGCTGGGAAACCTTGTCCTTCTATGCTAGATATACTAAGGAAAGCAGTATGGAGGAGGGATGTGCATTGGACATAACAGCCTTACAACCGAGTGTTCTGCAATGGAAATTACACTGAAAGGCTATTGTAAAGATACAAAACATGGTAGCACTTAAGAATGCATAAAGTCACAACTTTAAACATATATTGAGTTAGTACTCACAAAACTTTCTAATTTAGAATGCTTCTTGACACTTAAAACAGATAATGGATAATTTTGTCACTATTATTTCTTACTAGTGCTTTTCATTGGTCCCAATCTATGCAACCTCATCTTACTTGTACTAAACAAAGAATATTCCTTTCTTCTAAAAGAAATACACAGTCTTTCTCCAAATATGTATCACTTTCATTAACTATAAAATACATAGCAATTAAGTTGCATATGATGAATACATTCTGGGACATAAATTGGAGAAGAGGAAATATACAATTCAGAACAGCCATGTGCCAAGACACTATAACCACGGTTGAGGTGATTAGCAAATCAATTTTGTTTCTGAATAAGCTCTTTCTATGAAACTCAATACCACATCATATTAAATACTAAAGTATTCTATTGAACTCAGTACCACATCATACAACTGGCTGAGCTTTTCTACTGAGCTCAATACATCATAAGACTGGCCAAGTTATTATACTGAACTTAATACCACATCATATTAATGTCTAAGTTATTATACTGAACTTAATATCACATCATATTAATGTGTAAGTTATTATACTAAACTTAATATCACATATTAATGTCTAGGTTATTCTACTGAACTTAATATCACATCATATTAATGTCTAAGTTATTATACTGAACTTAATATCACATCATATTAATATCTAAGTTATTATACTGAACTTAATACCACATCATATTAATGTCTAAGTTATTATACTAAACTTAATACCACATCATATTAATGTCTAAGTTATTATACTAAACTTAATACCACATCATATTAATGTCTAGGTTATTCTACTGAACTTAATATTACATCATAAACTGCCATGTTTAACTAGAAATGCCTAGATATTAAACTCTCTCTACTTTCACTTGAGATAACCAATGATAAGGGTGAGGCTTGAATTCTGAAAGACACGACTTTATTGTTCTTGTGTATATAATGTCATATTCTCACAGTGTAAGACAAAGGTATCTTGAAAATAGACAGGAAATTCCAAAGTCTCTTTCTGTCCCTTAGAAGTGATGTCTGATGTTCTGTGCTCTCACCTTTGAAGTTGTTATTGTTTGTATTAAATAAATAATTATTTCATTTTGTTTAACAATTTAAATATGGTCTTAGCTCTTTATTACTTCATGATATTTAAGAGTTTTACAAAGTTTCATTCAAAACATAATTAAATAACTTTATTATCACTATATGTCAATAAAATTAGCATTCCAAATGTAGTTTATAATCAAAGTTTTTATATTATCTAAGTTTTAATTTCTTAATCTTAAAACAAGAAACATTAAATATTTTTAATCTTCATTTTTTTTGTCATGTGATGTGCAAGTGCTCTCAGTTCTTCACGTTTAGTTTGTATAACTTCAACAGTATAGCATCTACATTGTCTAAGATATGTAAACATAATGGCAAAGTCAAATGCAGTTTCAATGCCCTGACTTCTCTGTTTGCTGGGATATTAATAACTTTCCCAACCTAGAACAGAATCTCTCTTCTCTCCTTAACTTTCAAGACAGTTTTCAAAACCATATGTTCTTATTTGATGTATATAACCAATACAGGGAGCTTACTTTCTATTAGAAGCAATGTCCTTTCCAATTTAGCAGCAACAGGCATTAATCCAAAGGAACTGATTGATATATGTGTTGGTAACCAAAGTTCATACATCAGTTAAATATTCTTGGTTTAAAGGATTGTGTTTAAGCTCAGTTTGTTTTGGGTTTTTTCATTCTCACTGTTTATAAAAAGTGAATAAGAATGTTGATTACTCAATGTAGCTTTTACTTCTGAAGAATGTATGAAATTGTACACAAATTTAACTGTATGCTGGCTTTACGTAAACTTTTGGAAAATTTGTTGGCATTGTGAATTTTAATGAAAACATTAAGAAAGTGAAGTGTACTGACTGAAAGAACGTAAACTAAATGTGTTGGATTTATTTGTTCATGTGGCTACAAATATTCTTCATTTTGAGAAAGGAGCATACCCAAATATCGTTTAATGCAATCAAAATAAAAACTATTTGAAAAGAGAAGGTGTCTAAAGACTCAGGTTTAATACATGAGTGAACATACTTGCAAATGGAATAATTAAAAGGACCTCTGATGGGTACACTAAAAGATATGTTCATAATGACTCAAATAAATAAACTCTACAATAATACAAAAACAAATATAATGTACCCATAGAGTTATTTAGTACCACGATTTGAAATAATCATTGCAAAAGCAATTTTTATTGAACATAAATGATGCACCATATTTATATTAAATTAGCTATGCATTTCTAACAAGTTCCTATAAAACTTCATATTAAAACACAATATTTAATGTTCTACAGTGACCTTCAAAATGTACACTATAACTAGAGCAAGGACTGAAACTGTCTTACTATAATTATCTTCAAAAAGAAACTTACCAATCTGCTGGTGCTCCAGGTATTTCAGATCCAGGTGCTGGGACTAGAACAGCATTTCTTTCTTCAGTAAGAGAAACCCACTGATCAATAAGACTTTGCTCTCGTTCAACATCTTGCTCTGTTTTATCTGCATCAAAAAACATATTAAGTTGATTACATATTTTCAAAAGTCTACATTTAACAAAAACAGTAACTTTCACAGCCAAATCTTAACAAAAATACATAATTTTAAACTCAGTATGAGAAATAGGATAATAATGATAATAAAAACACAAAGAAACATACTAAATATTAATTCATCAATGTAGATTAGGTAATATTAACATTAAAATGAAACAAACATTATACATTTATTTCCATTAAGTTTATTTATTCTAGAAATTTTACAGCTTGTATATAAACTTACAGTTCAGAATTGATTGGTATACACTAAATGCAATGTTTGAAGTAAAATTTGGTTTTTTATTAGTTGAATTAATCATAGCAAATTTTCTTTGATTGTAAAATTTCACTAAGCAGCTGTTGTTGTTTTTTTTTCATGTTGTTATGAAACTTGTTTGTCTGACAAGAAACAGGATTCTACTTAAATACTGCAAAATTTACAAGACTTCTTTCATAAAATAAATTATTCTCTTTGGCCACATGGCAATATACTCTAGTCAAAGTATGACAAATAAGGAAGTATATATCATGTGTCTAAAAAATTTTTAGAAGTAATCATTATTAGCTATAACTTTGCAATGTAAAAATGGATGGATGCATAATTTTTTATCAATCATAGAAACACATAGATTTTTAAAAGAATAGCTAATACCAAACAAGAAATTTTATTATTCTAAGTCTTTGCAGATTTTGCATAACACATGATCAAGAAAGTTGTTAAATTGATTTAGTTCTAGCTACCTTTGTTCCTTCATCATTCTTTGAAGGTAACACTTGTTTTGCCCATGGGTGCATGGCTGTAATACTGCACAATGTGCAAAAATGTTGACAGCCAGTGCCCTCAAATGTTGGACCAGATGATATCTCAAGGTTATGGATTTCCTTATGTTTGAATGAGAATGACTAGTCACATGGATAGCACTAATAACTATGGGTAAACCTGACATTTTTGATTAAGTAAAAAATGTTAGATTTAAACATCCATGTTCTGGATCTAGAGTAAATTGGTTGGTGAGGATACATCTCAAAGAAAGAAAGCCAGTCTAATCAATTCATGAATCCAGTAATAGGCAACCATCAAGCATCCATAAACAATTACACATACCATGCATGTCTTGTCTCTGAATTAAAAAGTGTATCTTCATTGTGTGATATACATCAAATCCAGTCTATTTATTGGTTTGTTCAGAATCAGTTAGTTTTAGCTAAATTCAGCAATACTTCATGAAATATATCCTGATAATCCTCCTATTATACAGTAAACCTACCAAATACTCTAAGGAAACTAGTTCACCTGAAAATACCACAATACCTTACTATGAAATTCAGATTAATTGAATCTGGAAATTACAACTGTATTTATTAAACACCATCAGACCATTGTTTATAAACAACTGATCAAAGTTTGTTACAATAGCCAAACATGTTTTACTAAACCTAAATCTGTATTTCCAAGCTGACATAATCATCATGCTGCATACAGACATGATGAAGCCTATATTAAAAGAGTTGTGTCAATTATTTTCATTCAGAAATCCTTTTAAGACTTACAATTTCAAAAGGAGTTGTAATGCTGAATTTTTGTTGAGTAATTCTAGGCTTCAGATAAGCAAGTACCAAACCCTCCCAAATACATAATCACTGATTATCATCAGCTCAACTCATAATAAGCATGTTACATTTTAAGATATGTCATGCAGTACTTCATAGGTTCTGAATTTTCTCAGAAATATGGTCTTCTATATAGGTTGAGATCTACCTACTAGTAAAGTCTACATGTTCATTCACACAAAAATAACACAATACCTTGTCTATTAGTGAATCAGGTGTTTATCATAAACCAACGTATTCCTGATTTTATGCATATTTTAAGAACAAATGTCTTGTAAAGACAATTTAAAGTACTTATTAATCATGCTTATAAGTAATTATTCTAAGTTTACTGGTGAATATATCTTATCAAAAACTTTCTTAAATGCAATTAGTTTGATAGTACTTTCACTGAAAATAATATTTATGAAATACATATAAATAAATGTCAATATGTGTGTGTGTGTGTACCTGTTTCTTATACATTTCAATATTCCTTGATCCATCAGCACCAAACTTGACACAGTAATACAGGATGACATAACAAAGTCAGAGAGGGTTTGACCCCTCCATCTAATTTCATATATAATTTTTGAAAAACTACCAATGTTGTACATCCCTCAGTATAAGAATGAATTATGTAACCACTGTTGGTAGAATTCTTGAAAACAGTATGTCTTTCTTTTCAGTATTTGTACCTTTATGTATTTTTATTGCACTTTTAATGTTATCATGTTAAGAAAAAAAAATAGAAGCACAATTTCCTATCCTTTGTTACAAATAAGTTTTTATTTCGCCCGTCCAATGGACGGGTACTCCAGTTAGTGCTAAATAAATTGATCACCCCTAAAGTCTTGAAATTTGATGTGCCAAAGAAACCAGTAGAAATAGGGTTATCATATTCAGGACAGCATTTGCAATATATAAAAAAGTAGCTAGTTTTAATATCTGGCAAAGTTTATCCACATGTTGAATATAAATTAATCTTTAATATGTACTGTTACAATTGTTTTCCTTTTAAGAATGTAATATCCAAAAATAAGAGGTCATATGGTATTTATAAATTTGTATGTCCATCTTGTAAGGAGGAATGTTTAAGCTCTACTTATGGGTGGCTCTCAACCAATATAAAAGGAAAAAAAAAAGAAAGTATATTCCTGAATAAAATTCAGAACCCATCAAGTACTGCATTACATACCTTTGAATACAACATACCTATTACAAATGAAAATTTTACTATTTCAAACACGATGAATAAGCTCAAGTTTTCTCAATATTTATACAATAGAAATAATTTCAGAATACAGCAATAAACAAGTTTTTAACCTTTCTTGTTTATGAGTTTTTGGATCTGATCATCTAAGTACTCTCTTCGTCTCATCAGTGCATCTGACCACTTTTCTCGCAGCAGAGACAAGTCTTCTTCTTGGTAGGAGTCGAGGGCTTTCTGAAGCTTGGATCGTGCACATACACAGCCAATATAAATATTGGTGATTGTTTCACAAATAATAGGCAATGTCCCAGAGTCCTGGACTGGTTTTACAGTAACAAGTATCCTTCTCTGCTGACCCTATTTGGAAACATTGTAAATACATTATAAATTTATTTAACATTTTACATTTACAACCTCCATGAAACACACTACAAATATCAACATATACCACTATAAAACAGCTTGTATGTACTGAAAATCATACTTCATAATTTTTTGTGCTTATATATGGTCAGAAGTTGCAGTTTCATTTTACTGAAATTACAGAAATAACTATTGATATACAAGTTCTTCAATTAATATAAAACTCAAACCAGTTTTCAAATTACCTGCCTAAGCTGAAAAACCCCTCCAGCTATCATGTCAGGTTTACACAGCACTTCTACAGGTGTATACTCTCCCTGGTCATTTAACTCATGAATTTCCACCCAAAACTCTATCTTTCTGGTCAGTTCTGCCCACCTAAAGTGAAGAAAAAATGCAGCTTTGCTAATATAAAATATAGGAAAAAAAAACATTTAAACTCTAAATGCATACCTGATTGTTGTGACTAATCTCTCCAGTCTGCATTGCAATTATTAATCTATATCATCATAGCAAGAATTCTGTCATAGACAGGTGTCCCACTTTACCCCATTTTTTATCTTTGATACTAAGGACTTTTTTCTTTAGCTCAAAAAAAAAGTTGAGGCCTACATGTACCTCAGAAAAAATTGCTTCACATACTTCACCACTTACATCCAACTGAATATAGAAAAGGCATATTAAAAATGAATTACAATTTTTTACAAATTTTTGCTGATGCCCAAAGTTTACTGATTTTCTAAATAGTCCTGTTTACATTTCCTGAAAGTGTACTTTAAAAAACATCAGTCAAATACATCATCTCTCTTGTTTATATAGATATACTGATTCCAATTTGCCAAAAAATAATAAAAAAAAAGCAGCATGTTCTATACTATTTTTTCATGTGTATGCTGTAATTCAGTTTTACAAACTAAAACACCTTTTCACACAGATCTACAAACCTGTCTAGAAGTGTCCTTGACCTCTGTAACTGAGCATCTACTTCCCAACCTGTCTTGACAGAGTTAAAGCCACCACTACGATGCCCCCAGACCTCAACAGACAAAGCTCCTTCAACACAGTGTTCGACAAATTCTTCTGTTAGGTTGACAGTGAACTCCTGTTGTGATAACATAATCAAAGAATAACAAAACAATTCCAAAAGTTACAGAAGTTGAACGTAAATACATCAGATTATTGAAAACTGTCAAAGATGTAATAACTTTTAAGAAAAACTATAAAAATAAAGTTATATTATCCATATCAAACCTAAATCCTTACAAACATAAATCTTATTCATTAACATCCCTATAATGTACTTGTACTAACTAAATTGTTTTCTTTGTTTTTTACATTACAAATAATTTGAAATATGTAAAATACTTAGGAAACAGAGAAAAATAAGAGTTTATTCAAAGCACTTGTTGAAAAAATATGTTCTAACCTTTTCATGTTCAAATACAAACATTATTTTCTCTCTGCCTTTCTGAAAAATGGGTTGGTCAGGGTACACAATAGGAGGTACAGCAATAGAGTGTGGATGGCCCCAGAAAGTATACTGGCAGAAGACAAAGTTAGACAAAGATGGTGGAAGTCCTGATGCTGACTTTATGGCTACCTAGTCAATGGGATAGAGAAAATATTTCTTCTGAAAACTACCATGTAATTATTTTCTATTTTCAAAAAAACATTAAAAGAAGCATTCTTTACTGTTCTAGTGAAATTACAAAAAATGTAAACATTTGGAAGGAAACATTAATTACAAAATAGCACTCTTTCTTCCCTCTTCAAAACTTTTATTTCCATTAAAGCTTAGCCTGGTTCACAAACAAAAGTAAGAGGGTGAGAGGATAAGAAGTTGAAATTATGTATGTTTAGTAAATTGGAAGAATTAAAAAAAAGATTAATGTGAATATGGATAACAATAAAATCATTTACCACATGAGTGCTCAATATCTCACAAGCACATCCTGAAAGATAAAACCTTTAAATAACCAGTCTGTGGCAAAAATATGTTCAAGCACAAAGACAAACAACTCCTTCAAAGTGAAATCTTTTGAACATTTAGGTGGGAGTTCCAGGAGCCACCTATGCTCATGAAACATAGAGCAACCCTTCCTACTGGCCAAAACTGATTTTAAGCATTTTTATGCCATCCTAAAATGCATTTTTGGATATGTTTGGATATGTCATATATCCCCTTTCAAACTTGTTTCTAACTGATTTCTTGAAGTCTTTAAGTGCTGATTCTGAGTGTTCAATAACAGACACTTTGGTTACTTTTTCTAAAAATTTTTGTTGCTCTTAATCAGTTAACCACGTCCAGACAAGTCATGGGTGAAAGGCCATGTCATCTCATTTGTTGACTTGCATTCAAAATTTTAATGAACTACTATTTCATGAATTTATGTCAATAAGTTGGTATCAACTGTAGATTATAATTCAAATGTTAGTACTACAGATTATTCAATTTCTTAATTTAAAAGTAAATATTAAAAAAAACACAGTTAAACATCAATTTTTGTGCCCCTAGTGGCTTTCTTAGCCATTTTAAATTCTTAGGATGCCATCTCTTTCTTTCGAACCAAGATTTCAAGGAGGTAGGTTGAGTCTTTAGTCTGGTCGAAATTTCATCTTTTTTTTTTGACTGAAATACAGCTTAGTTACTATGCTTGATAAATTATAGTAGAATTCTGTGGTATTGATATAGTAATTTGTGATACTTTGATTATTCAACTGTATATATATAAAACCTAAAAAAATTATTTCATTTCATATCCTCCATGTG